GGGGGGGTTCGTCCATCAGCATCGGACACAGTTGGAAGCTCGACGCGCGCTCGGGACACGGCTGGAGACGCGGCCTGCCGTCCCGCCCGTCGGAGGTAGGAGTTGTACAACTACGAATTGCTAAAATAGATGCCATGTACATAGTTGGCTATCAGCATCCGCAGTCTCACAGGCTCCCGCGTGGGTTGACTGTTTCCAGCTTGCCGGCCGGGATGCCGTCTCCCATCTACATACATACATACATACCCATCGACTAAACCTTGCCGTAGTGCTGGTACCACCAGGGTGCAGGGTTCACGTTGCAATGCGAGGCTGAATGGGAGGAGGGAGAGGTATCGCCAAAGACAGCGTACAACAAGCGACGGGATGGATGATAAATGGTCATGGGGACTTGGGGGCCAGAGGACCCCTTGCAAGTGCTGACCGTCAATTGCTGCAGTGAGGTGAGTGAGTGACTTGAGTGAGTGAGTGAGTGAGTGACAGACAGACTGACTGACTGACTTGAATGCCGTGCATGACATCCATGGCATCCATGACATCCATGTATGCCTGTCTGTTGTTATCCACGGGTTGACTTGCTTCTACTTTATTGACTCACTTTTATCATATGTACTCGTCACGGGTTACTAAAAAAAACCCCCCATGTTGAGCAACCAGGGCTCATCCCGTAGTGTATAAGCTAACGAGATCATCACCCTTCTAGTCCTCTGAAAGATCAACACAGTCTTCCGCTAGAAGTGCAAATGCATTGTCCGTCATTGTCATTCTGCGACCCAGCACTCAACTTGCATTGCGACGGGCCAGTTAGCCAGTTCTTCAGCCAGTTACAATGCGGTATCCCGGGGTCGGGTCCGAGCTGTGCTGCCGTTCTCGCCTCGCCTCGCCTTCGCCTCGCGAACCTTGAATCTTGTCTTGTCGGTGAAACAAAACACCGCAAGGCGATTTATTTAACCTTTGCTTTTTTTTTTTTTTGCCGGCCCCGGGATATCGGTCAGAGATTGTCCAACACAAGAGAGATCATCATCCGTCGGTGTACCACGTAATCAAGTGTTAGCGGTACCTTGCAGCCAAAGAGACGTCTGACTCATGAATAAGAGCATCAAGTCAAGACTGCAATCTCCGGCCCTGGCATATAATCAACGGCGTCCCCGACCAGGTCGCTGAAGATGATGATGATCAAAATGAATGTCGATTGACAATTGACAGGCTTCCCCCTGGAATTCAAGCCCATCCTTGGAATCCTTGGACGCCTCGCCCATCGCCTTCAGCCGCTGCGGAGCGCCTCTCCTCCCCCCCC